CCCCAAAATCAGGAGTCAGACCCCCCCCCAACTCAGCCCCCCGCTGCACACAAAAAATCAAGCCGTCAGGATAGCACATGGCGGTGTCTGGTCGGGCTTGGTGTTTGAATGCCCCGTGTGAGAGAGAGGGAGAGCGAACCCGTGCGGAGGAGGCCCCCAAAGAAGTGATTTGGGTTTCTTTGCAGGAGCTCGGCTACCTGATGGCATAGGGCTTCCTGCGTCCCCTTCACTTGCTAATTAATGAATTCCATGTCATGCCCCACACTTGCCCAGTGAATGATTCTGCCCCACAGCCCCTCCTGCAGCTCCAAGCCGGGGGAGGGAAGGGGGGGGGGGGGGGGTGGGGAAGAGGGAAAGGGCCTCCTGCTTCCCCTTCACTTGCTAATTAATGAATTCCATGTCATGCCCCACACTTGCCCAGTGAATGATTCTGCCCCACAGCCCCTCCTGCAGCTCCAAGCCAGGGAGTCAGCAGACTTCACTGAGCTCATAGAAAGGGATAGATAGGGGGACCAGCTGAGGGGGAGGAGGACTCCTTCACACACATTCCCTGAAGCCGCCTCCTGCTTCCCCTTCACTTGCTAATTAATGAATTCCATGTCATGCCCCACACTTGCCCAGTGAATGATTCTGCCCCACAGCCCCTCCTGCAGCTCCAAGCCAGGGAGTCAGCAGACTTCACTGAGCTCATAGAAAGGGATAGATAGGGGGACCAGCTGAGGGGGAGGAGGACTCCTTCACACACATTCCCTGAAGCCATGCATTCCTGTGTGAGCAGCGATCACACCAGTCCACAGCCCACAGGAAGGGAATGTCCCAGGTGCAAGGCCATGTGTGACCTGCACGGCATGCCCTGTGTCACAGGGGCCTCGATGGGGCCAGAGGACCATGCTGCCCTCTCCCACCTCCGCGGAGACACACAGGCAAGGGAAGTGTACGGCCACGTGGATCCCCTCATGGGCAGCAGAGGAGCCATGAGCAGCCTGCCCCTCCCTGGGGTCTGCACAGACAGCTGCTCACAGACACTGTGCTGAGAGGGTGAGGGAAGGATGAGAGGTAGTAGAGCTCTGCCTGCTTCTTATAGCAGCCCTAATCGGCTGCTGTTCCCCAGGAGACCGGGCAGCGAGAAAAGCAGCCATCAGAGTTTTGTTCCTTGGCAGAGCGGAAGGGTGCAGCTGTATGGATAGCACCAGATTGATTCTGGCCCTGGCCTGCAGCTCAGTGACATGGCAAGGATTGGCAGTGTTGGAATGGGCCAGATCATCCCCCCGAGGCCCAGTTGGCCAGTGCACAGAGGTTTCCCTTTCCGGTTTGGCCACCAGTGATGGTGTAGTCTATTCCCGCGCCATGCACTGCTCGGTCTCCCTCAAGCAGTGCCACATACAAAACATGCTGCTGCTGCTCCCACCTGATCAGGAGATGAACATAAGAACGGCCATACTGAGTTAAACCAATTGTCCATCTAGTCCAGTGCTCTGTCTTCTGACAGTGGCCAATGCCAGATGCCCCAGAGGGAATGAATAGAACAGGCAATCAATGAGCGACACATCACCTGTCATCCCTTCTGGCAGCGGGAGGCTAGGGATACCCACTGCATGGGGCTCCATTCCTAACCATGTTGCCTAATAGCCCTTGATGGACCTACCCTCCGTGAACTTATCTCATTCTAAGCCAGGAGGAGCAGAGGTGGCACTGAACTGATTTGGAGGCTGTGGAAGTGCGGTCTGAAGGGGGTGGAGCTGATGGGGTGGCTGACGATTGAGGGGCTGGTGGGTTAGGAAATGGGACCCCCAACTCCAAAGAAAAATCTCATTAGCGCCCTGAAAATCCTAAAAAGCAAGCTCTGAACATCCCCATGTGCTGGTGACAATCTAAACCTGCAAATAAATAAATGCTAGTATCAATTTGTGAAACCTTCATTTTGATCTTTATAACTGAACAATCACTTCAACCAGATAAGCAAATTGGTGCATTGCCCAGCTCCGGCATACACAGAAAGCCCGTTCTCTGTCTAGCAAGGAGAAGGAGCCCTGCCAGGAATCTTAATGTCAAGAGAGGTCATGCAGGTTATAATTGAGTCTCATTAGCCCTCCACCAACATCATAGTTCGTTACCTACAGCCAAGCAGGAAGGTGTGAAGTTTTTACTTCCCTTGAAAATATCAAAGGAAATCAAACATCACTCTCAATCTGATGCTTACAACCAACATGAGAGGAAAACCCATCAGCAGCAGAGTCAAATTCTGAGAGGTAATTTGTAGATCTATACAGCTGACTAATCACGTCAAGTGGTGATCAAAGCCACTGAAATCAGCTCCTCCCACCAGTAGGGAGCTAATGATGTAAAGTAGAAACATATGTAGAGAAGTTATTGCTATAATTATTTATACCACTGTAGCATTCTGATACATTCGTTTATACACAAACCTTGCCTTAATCACCCAGTCCCTGCTGAGTGACTTTCAGCAAGTCACTTCACTTTTCTCTGCTCGGTTTCTCCATCTGTAATGGGGGGTGGGAATAATACAGAGCTTTAAGAGCTAGGTATTTGTTATTAGCATTACCTGTCCCATTGTGACAGTAGATGTATACCTGGCCTCCTCCTTCCCCACTGTTCTGGGGGGGGGGGAAGAGTCTTGGGCAGGCTCAGGGCAGCTTGGGCCCCACAGCCACCTCCCTTCCTGCTGCTCCAGGGCCAGGGAGGCTGGAGCCACGTGGCCTCCTCCCTCCCCACTGCTCCCGGGGGTGGAGAGGCTCTGCCATGCAGTTTTTTCCCTCCTCACTACTCCTGGGGCAGGGAGGATTAGGGATGCTGGAGCATGTATGCACTTTTCCCCTCCCTGTGGTGGGGTAGGCACCTGCTCAGCATGCTGCTCTTCTGCCTCCTCTCCTCCCCATGGAGGAAGTGGGGCCTCCACAGAGGGAGATGGGGCTGGGGCTTGCTTCCTCCTAGAAACTTTTCAAGTCTGCTCAAATGTTCTCTGTGACAGACTGCGTGCAGGACACCTCTCCTTTTATAATAGTATAGATTGTTACTAGAATGAATTTACAATCTAGTGTTCTCCTTTCGCAGAGCTAGCAAGTTCCACTTCTTGCAAAAGAGGTTAAGATATTAGGACAGTTAGTATTTACATTTATGTCATGGCTTTATCATAAAAGCTCACAGACCTTCTGTTATTTTTCAGGACACAAGAAGCAAATCATCGGCTTAAAAAAGGTGAGTGTATTGACAAAACAAAAGATATATTTGATAAAACATACATGGTTGCTCAGTGTTATAGAGCAACTAAGAAAAGAACAAAACACAGAGGCTGTGTCTAGACTGCATCCCTTTTTCGTAAAAGGGATGCAAATTAGACGTATCGCAATTGCTAATGAAGCGGGGATTTAAATCTCCCCCACTTCATTAGCATAAAAATGGCTGCCGCTTTTTTTCGGCATGGAGCTTTGCTGGAAAAAAGCGCCAGTCTAGATGTGGATCTTTCGGAAAATAAAGCCTCTTCCAAAAGATCCCTTATCCCTCTTAAAATAAGGGATAAGGGATCTTTTGGAAAAGGCTTTATTTTCCAAAAGATCTGCGTCTAGACTGGCGCTTTTTTCCAGCAAAGCTCTGAGCCGGAAAAAAGTGGCAGCCATTTTTATGCAAATGAAGCAGGGGGGATTTAAATCCCCGCTTCATTTGCAATTGCGATGTGTCTAATTTGCATCCCTTTTACAGAAAAGGGATGCAGTCTAGACACAGCCAGAGAAAAAAATGGTATCTCTGGGACAACTTAGGTATAGTGACTGATGGTGAAGGGAGGGAGGCACATGGATTTCACACTGAGAAGTTTAACCAAACAGCAAACAAAGAAAAATACCCTGATTGTGACTAAACATAAATTCCTCTCTCTACTCACGATCTGTACTGATCGTACTTCAAGGCCCAGTCCATTCCCATGCCCAATATTTCTTGTAATGCCATTTGATTACTCCATTTTGTTTCTTCCAGCTCCTAATTTAGAACTCACACAAAGCAACAGCAGCCAGGTATCTATACTCAATTTACATTTCAACAGTCTTTCCCATTGGCTTTCCTAGCTTTTTGCCAACACTGCCCTAGCTACTTGAGTTTAACCCTTTAGTCACCAGGTGCTGGCACTTCTCCTATCCATCACACTATCCAAAATCATCTTTTTCTGTCTCATGTTCTTTTCCCATCAATGTTCCCTCCCAATGCCCATAGATATGTATCACCCGCTAAACTTAATGTACTCTGCAAATCAAATTTCTCTTTTCCTGAGATTTCTGTCAAGTGTTTGCTGAGTTTCAATAATCTGCAATACTTTTTCATTGGTTACACAATCAATCCATAATATTTTTCAGATTTTTTTCTTTAACAGCATCATATAAAGAATAGTAGTTTATTATTTATTGTTTGAATATGCATGTTTTACAGACATAATTTAACACAGTAATTTTTAATAGTTAGATTTTAGTTTTCAGATTTACATCCCTTCCCATCAGATGCTCATTCTTCCAGAATGTCTCTTTTGCTTTTGATGTTTTAGTGCTCACTTTAGGATCTGATCTTCCATCTTCTGTAATGATGCTTCCTAAGTAGCAATAATTTGTCACTCGCTGCATGGCTGTGTCATTCATTGAAATCTTGCACATTTACATATGCTCCCTGCCATTCACCAGAACTTTTGTCTTGTTCCCATTCAAATATAACCTTTATGCTTTGCCTATTCACCTAGTCTCCACTAACTTCGTAAGACCTTCTGAATTAGCCAACAGCATTGTCACGTGCACAGTGTTATTCACTCATTTTTCGTATATCTTAATACGTTTTTTTTTCTGCATTAATTGTTATTGGTTACTCATCTACTCTGTAGTCTCCAGTAGCAGGGCCAGTAGCCAATGCACTCTGGCTCCATTCCCAGAGAGCCCCCAAGCACCTCGTGCTGCTGTCTCTGTTTAAGATCAGCTCCCCATGCAGACTGGCTGCCTGCCTCCTCCCAGTGCTGCTGTCTCTAATACAGAGGCAGCAGCATGGGGTGGCAACAGCCCCTGTCCGCGAAGGGGTCTGAGCTCCTCACTGACAGAGGATGCTGCAGTGGGGGAGGGAAGAAGGTGGAGGGAGGCTGCTGAGAAGCAGCCTTGGTCTGTGGCGGCCCAGGCCAGTTGCGGACAGAATCTGGTCTGGCAGAAGCCCCTATCTGAGACTGTTTGAAGCTTCTGTCCACGATAAGTCTGGGCCCACTGCAGGCAGAGGCTGGTCCCAAGCAGCAGCCCCGTCCGCAGGAGATCTGACCTGAGCCTCTGTCCACAAAGAGCTTCTAAAAGGTGAGTCTGAGAAACAAGAGGGGATGCTGGTATCTCATTGAAGAGAAAAGGCAAGAAGATGACTTAAGTAACTGAAACTGACGCTTTTGGCTATCCCTTTATGTTATGGATAAATAAAATCTGTCCAGGGCCTGGTAAGGCTCATGAGCTTGCAGCACTGAGCTTAGTTGACTGATCCTAAATCTGCATTTATTCGTTATCATTTAATTTAATGTTTTATATTCTTTTTCTCATGTTGATCTCTGTGCTTTTATTTTTCCTCTTTCATCCCCGGGGTTTTTCTTAGCTAGTAACTTCTTCCCTGCATGTTTATCTGCAGTCCATTTACCCACCACTGAAATATGGCCACTTCCGTAACAGAATGTGGAAAACATTTAGCAGTACAGTGTAATATTCTCACTTGCATGCAGCAAGATGTGGAGAATACTGTTACGGAAAGAGCCAACAGGCAGCACTGCTATATAGAGTCTTACACATTCTTTTTCTTAGCACACAAACTTTTAGGCTATGTCTACATTGGCATGATCTTGCGCAAATACTCTTTAATGCAAGAGTTCTTGCGTTAAAGTATTTGCGCAAGAGAGCGTCTACACTGGCATGTGCCTTTGCGGAAGAGATGTGCTTTTGCGCAAGAGCATCCATGCCAATATAGACACTCTCTTGCGCAAGAAAGCTCTGATGGCCATTTTAGCCATCAGGCTTTCTTGCACAAGAAATTCACGTTGCCTGTCTACACTGGCCTCTTGCGCAAGAACAGTTGTGCAAGAGGGCTTATTCCTGAATGGGAGCATCAGAGTTCTTGTGCAAGTAGCACTGATGTCACACATTAGAATGTCAGTGTTCTTGCGCAAGAACTTCCCGCCAGTGTAGACAGGCAGCATGTTTTTGCGCCAAAGCAACTGCTTTGGCACAAGATCGCGCCAATGTAGACACAGAATATGTCTTTAAAGAATAGCTGTTGTAGTCTTATGTGAAAAGCTGTGGCAGATGGCACAGAGTTTTCTCTCAACTTTATTCTTTGTTGTTGAGGCAGTTGTTGAGAGAGTAGCTTCCTAGGGAACTGGACATTGGTGTGTGTATTGAAACTTGTGAAATAGGAGATTTTGTGCTTTCTGTCAGCAATGGTCTTTGTTCCAAGACTGTATGGCTGCATCTAGACTGGCATGATTTTGTGGAAATACTTTTAACAGAAAAGTTTTTCAGTTAAAAGTATTTCCGCAAAAGCGCGTCTAGATTGGCACGGATGCTTTTGCGCAAAAAGTGCTTTTGTGCAAAAGCATCCATGGCCAGTCTAGACACCATTTTGCGCAAGAAAGCCCCGATTGCCGTTTTAGCCATCAGGGCTTTTTTCCGCAAAACAGTTCTTCCCTGTCTACACTGGCCCTCTTGAGCAAGTATTCTCGCGCAAGAGGGCTTTTTCCCGAGCAGGAGCGGGAAAGTATTTGTGCAGGAAGCACTGATTTTGTACATTACAAAGTCAGTGCTCTTGCGCAAATTCAAGCAGCCAGTGTAGACAGCTGGCAAGTTTTTGCGCAAAATCATCTCCTTTTGCGAAAAATCTTGCCAGTCTAGACGCACCCTACGTGTGTGGTGGCAAAGCTCCAGTTTTGCCTTGGGGGTCCTGCACTTCTAAGCAGTTAGGATGTGCCTCAGAGGCTATTGTGAACCTCAGTATAGCCTTTCTCCCTTTCTGGAGGCAAGGGTCACAGATTACTGTGCCGCCTTCATCATAAGCCAGTCAGTGGGTTTGGCATGAGAATCCTTCTTAGTCTCAGTCTTCCCTCTCAGAGAATGTCTCTGTGGCGATGTCGGGAGGGTTGGTGGGGAACCCCAATCCACCCTCTACTGCAGGATCCAGCCCAGGGACCCTAATGACAGCCACAACAATTATCCTATGTCTACACTTGCGACTTCTTGTGCGAGAAAATGAGGCTAAGCATGGAATATCACAGAGCCTCATTTGCATACCTAATGAGCCACCATTTTTGCAGAAGAGGCTCTTGCGCCAGAAGGAGCTGTCTACACTGCCCATTCTTGCGCAAGAAAAACCCTTTTGTGCAATGCCGTTACACCAATTATTTTCAGGAATAATGGCATTGCGCAAGAGGGTTTTTCTTGCGCAAGAAGAGGCAGTGTAGACAGCTCCTTCTGGTGCAAGAGCCTCTTCTGCAGCTCCTTCTGGTGCAAGAGCCTCTTCTGCAAAAATGGCAGCACATTAGGTATGCAAATGAGGCTCAGCGATATTCCACGCTTAGCCTCATTTGCATATTTATTGCACAAGAAGCCGCGAGTGTAGACATAGCCTTAGTGTTTCCTCCACTACCACAGCTATAGCCCTGCCCTGGGTTATTTCCCCAAAAAGCCCCTCCCAGCACCTTGTTCGTGGTACCTGACCACTCTCATCCTGCCTGGCCTTCCACAGCACTTCACTTTTCTCCCAGCTCTTCATCAACTACCCTCCCTGAAGGGGGGGCCTCTTTAAACTAGCCCTAACAGGTTCTTAATAGGCTGCAAGTGTTCTGATTAGCCTGTCTCTCTTAATTGCTTCTTGCAAGTTCTTAACCGGCTACAGGTGTTTTATGGTGTCTGCCTGACTTAATTGGTTCTAGTATTGTTCTGGAGCAGCTCCTGCCTTAGTCATTCACAGAACAGAAAATTATCCATCCAGTGGCCGGGTATAGTTGCCTTTGACCAGACTACTGCAGCCAACTGGTCTGGGTCTGTCACAGGGTAAATAAAGAAACTGAGCCACTGACCTGCTGCGCTCCTGTGTTTCACTGCTGCTGGGCAGAGGTATTATTATGAGAAATGGAATACTTGTGTCAGGAGAAGAGGCAGAAATGCATTATCTGGTTGAAATAGCAAAGGACATTTTGACACCAACTCTTCTGTGAAGAGCCTTGAAATCTTCAGTGTTATAAATGCTCTGGACCTAAGTTGTACAGATCATCCAAAAGGTCGTTTGATTCAGGCAGCCTATTGCACGGTACATCAGTTTAACAAACCCATTAAATCTAAAGCAAAAATAAATTCTAATGATTCCTTTGGCGCCAGTGCAGTTGACTCAAGCGCACTGTTCCTAACCATTGGTCCCTCTTGGATTCCTTTCGGGTGGTGATTGGTGTTGTCCACATCTGTCTTTCTGTCCACCGTCAGTCTGTTTATCTAGATATAAGTATATAGTTTAGTGCAGGAGTGGGCAATAACACAGTGGCAGTCTCCCAGGGCTAATTCCTAGCAGGCTACCACCGCTATAGTTACCTTCATGGCCGCAGTTACTGGCAATCGCAACCCCTGTTGGCCGTGGATCGCTGTAGTCAGCCAATTGGAGCGGCAGGAAGTGGCGAAGACTGGGACACCCCTTCCTGCAGCTCCCATTGGCCAGGAATGGTGATATGCAGCCAATCACTGGTACCTATGGCTGTGTATGTAAATATAGCAGTGGAGGTCCGTCAAGTGCTACCGCTGGTGGACCAACTCCATCCTGCAGGCTGACATTTGCCTGCCCTTGGTTTAGAAGGGCCATAATTCCCATTGCTGCAGTATGTGGTTGCAAATGGAGACTGAAGCTTTGTATTTATTCACATAA